ACAAACATCGGCCCTAGTCGCCAGCCTCTTCAAGGGGGGGTAAGAACCAGGAACTGGAGACCCCGGGGCGCCAGGTACACGGTGCAGGGTGCTCCATCAAGGCAGGGACCCCGTAAACCCAGCTCAGCTGGAGGAAGTTGATGGTTGTGCGCAAGAGTTGGTTACCTATATCTAGCTGCTTCCGTTCTCTGCTGGTGACATGCCCTAGCCCCCACAGCTGGTCCACTGACCTCAGGGGGCGGGGGGGGGCGTCGACACTGTGGGGCAGGGATATGTCGTGCTGCTGACCACGATTCACAAGGGGGGCCAGCAATGACCGCCGCAACGCGGCCTGAACGTAGCAAATCTTTCCAAAGCTCAGCTGTGGCTGGATCCGTCAAATCACCCCACCTGGGGTCATGAGCAATGTCAATGCTGATGACATGCACGGGCATGGGACAGCTGTCAAGAACGCGCTCCATGTACCACTGTATGTCTCCATCCCGCCGAAATCCAGAGAAAATATGTAGAACAAACATATGGGCATGAGGCCTCAACCTGCGGGGCTCGCACAAGAGGGGAGCAGGGGGGACGGGAGACGGGGGTAACGGGGTATGAACAACTTCTTAGGGCACCTTGGGGCTAATGGGGGGACCATCATGGACCCCTGGGGGTTCCTTGGCACTGGCCTTATGGAGCCCCTTATTGCGATTAAGAGCGGAAATGCGGCGGCACTCCTCTCTCGCCTCCTCTGCTTCAACAGGACTGGGCCTGAAACTGGTCCTCTGCCAAGAAAGCAGGCAAGAGGGCGAGTTGTGCAAGTGTTTAACAAGACGCGGGATCTGGAAGAAATCTTTAAGACATGTGTTGCAGCAGGAACCAGTCGCAAGCTCAGTAGGGGAATCGCCCATCTTGTGGGTCTTACTGATATGAATATTTAATACTTTGGCCGAACTGGCAGGGTGTCCACAATGATAGCACACATACTGTGCTGGGGGTCGGGTAAGAACGGGATCAAGCAATGTGCCTTTGATTTCATTATTAGTGAGTCTTTCCCATACCTGCCCCTGCAAGCAATCATGGTAGTACTGACGAGCCTTCCCGATGGCCATCGTCACTGCGGCCAAAAAGGCCTTGGGACGGCTGCGTACCTGTGGGAGCCAGTCGCTGATGGTGCCTTCGCCTCCTCCTCCTCCTCCTCCTCCTCCTCCTCCTCCTCTCCCCGCCTTTTCTCAGGAGGGGAAGAAACGCACAGGCACAATTCAGCGCCGCCCCCGAGGACAGCACGGGAAACTGTGCGACGTGGTGGGGAAGACAAACGTCCAGCAAACATGAGGGAAATATTGGGAATCCTGGGACTTCTGTGTATTTCTTTGTGTGTCCCTGGGCCCCTTCATTCTCTCCCCTGTCCCCCCCGACGGCGCCGCCGTGGCGACGGCGGCCTGCCGGCCTTCTGGCCGCAGCCTGTGGGCTGCTTGCGCTGCGCGGCACGGCCCGGCGCTGGACTCAATGATGTTGCTATTCTGCATGGTCGTCGGCGCCTCGGTATCGTTCAACCGATCCCCATCCCCATCCCCATCCCCTTCGAGACCCCCACCAAATCAGCACCCCAGTTGGGGATACACCCCTCGAAACCTGAAGGGAACGACCTAGTTATATCCCCATCTAAGGGGGTAAATCGGCCAGTTGGGCCCAGGCCACGCCGCTGGGGATGGGGATCGGTTGAACGATACTCATGATGTTGCTCGTCTGCATGGTCGTCGGCGCCTTCCTTGTCTTTCGCCGTCGACTGTCATGTTGTTCGACCCGCTGGCGTCGCTCATCGGCCTGGTCACCTACCTTCTCGGTCCGCTCGCCTGGTCGACGTTCACCACCCAGTACTACCCGTTCGGCTTTCGCGCTGCAGGGGTCCCCACGTCGCTCGCCTCCTCGGCCTTCCAGTGTGGGTTCCAGGGGGGACGCCCCTGTTTGGATCTGCTTCGGGTTGCTTGACGCCCATGTTCGTCCCGCCACCCTTGCGCCACGCTTCTCCGCGGCTCCGTGTGCGGCCCCGCCTTCGTGGCTGCATCGCCTTTCGGGCGCCTTCCGAGGTCCGGCACGTCGGCGAGCACACGAAGACCTGCGCGGCCGGAGCGTGGCCTCCTCTCCCTTCGGCCTCTCCGACCTCCCGCCTCTCACCACCTACCAAACCACCCCAACCCAACCCGAAGGCCTCAATTTGCCCTCCATTTCCAGTGTGGGGGGGTCGGGGAACATCGAAAAAACACACATGGAGCCCATACCCCCCCAAACCCGAAATTCGGGTCTTCGGGTTGGGTTGGGGTGGTCTGGTAGGTAGTCAGCCTCACGCGCCCCCTCCTCCACGCGTGCCGTGCCGCGGCGCGCGTCGAGCCGCTGCTCGACCGCTGCCTGGGCCTCCTGCGACCGCCGACCAGCAGTGCATCCGTGTGCGCGTGTGTGTGCTAGCAGCGCGGGCGCGCGTCCTCTTCTCCGGCCTTGGATGCCCTGTCGCTGCGCGCGGGGCGCGGCGCCAAAGAGTGTGTGTAAGTGTGTGTGTGTGTGTGTGTGTGCGCGTGTCGTCCACTCGTGCGTTGCGCCACGATTCGCACTTGTGGGCCCTGCCTTGGCTCCGTCCGCCAGCGCCGTCACTCTGCCTGACCAGGCAGGCAGGCAGGCAGGAGCCGCGCCCTGACGGCGCATCGGCAGAAAATAGCATGCGGAAGACATACCTGGAACACATGCAAGAACACCTGCATGCAGACGCAGTGCCTCGGTGAACAAGCGCCGGACTCTTCGTTCCGGAGCGTCGCGAGGGAAAGCCGCATTTGTACTCGAGGGAGGGGGAGGGGGGAGCAGGGAGGGAGGGCGGGAGGGGAGGAGGGGAGAGGGGAGAAACTATCCACAGTATTCTTGTACGACCTTGCGCCACTCACGTGGGGCTCCCTGCAACAGGGATTGCAATCGATCTGGGTCACTTCCCGCTGCCTCTAGAGCCCTCGCATGCATGTATTTTGTCCATTGCAAGCGCGGGCGCCCCCTGGTGCGAGCACTGGCCCAATCTCTTGGCTGCGTGTCGACTGCCGCTTCCGTCTCGAACACCATGCTCCTTGGAAGGCTGTCTGGACAAGCTGTTGCCAGTTTACCATAAAGTTGCAGTTGACGTCGTAGTAGAAGTACAGACAATGGTTTGACGTTTGCTGTTGACCTCACTGTTGCATTGCTTATTCGTGAAATGTACGCAGGCGAAATTTTGTGGATACGTCGGAGGCATTTCGCTTGAAAACTATCCAGTCGGTCCCTGTCTGCTTTCAGTAGCATACAACATTCCAGCCCATACAAAAACTTCGAAACTATACAGACGTCCAACACCTTTGTTTTATGATGCTTGCTCATGTTGGCGTGATTCCATACTGTACAAATCTTGTCGAATACCCCTCTTGCTTCCCCGAGCCTTCGTGTTACCTCGGTTCTGGGGTTCCCGTCAGTGCTCAACAATCCTCCAAGATACACTGCGGGGTCCTTGCACGCGATCGGGTTGCCATCCGGGCCTGCAACATTCGCTTCTGAGCGGATCCTTAAAAGTATGGCTTTCGATTCGACGCGTTGAGCTCGAGACCAAATGCTCTCCCAGTTTGTATAACAGCATCCAGATGAAGTTGAAGAGCCGCCGGGCCTGTGGCTACGAGCATCGTGCCGTCGACATATAACACATCTTTTGTAACCGCATAATTTTTCGAACCATTGCCGTAAGCAGACCTCTCCAGCATTTTGTCCACCGCCTCCAGCAGCACCGACATGACGATGATGAATAAATATGGTGATAATGGGCATCCTTGCGCTATGCCTGCAGCCTGGATTCTAGCGTTGGTGGCTGTACTCCCATCTTTCACAATGAACTTTCTGGTCCGGTAGATCGCCTGCACCATGTCGACCATGGCCGGGGGCACGCGGAAGTGGCGGAGAGCAAACATCAAGCCTTCTGGTTTGATTCTGTCGAACGCTTTACTCCAGTCAAGTAGTAGTAGCAACAAGCTTCCTTCTTTATCTTTCAAAGTTGCGTCGATGAGCCCGCCCGCCAGGAACAGAGCGTCCGTCGTGCCTCGTCCAGGGCGGAATCCATACTGAGACTCCCTTAGAGATTTCTCCGCACCACCAAGTTTTAGCCTCTGCAGAATAATACTTGCCAGTGCTTTATATCCAACATCCAGAAGCGATATTGGTCTGTAGTTGCTGGGCTGTGACGTGTCACCTTTCTTGAAAATAGTAACGATGGACGCTTCCCGCCATTCCTCGGGTATGTCTTTCTCTTGCCAGCATTTATTGGAAAGGTCCAAGAGAATTCCAAGATCCGCATCATTTTGCCATAGAGCTTGCAACAAATCCGGCGGCATGCCGTCGTTGCCAGCTGCTTTCTCCCTTTTGAGAGACTTAACTGCGCGACGTAATTCTTCCACTGTGATGTCTTGTGTATTCACCTCGAGAATCTTGAACAAGTTTCCATTGCTCTTTCTCCAAGTAGTCGGCCATGGCTTCTGCCTTGAACTCGGCGTCCACGAGCTCCCCCTGTAGATTTCGAACCCGCCCATGCTGCGTAGACCGTCCTTTCCTCAGAGACCGGATCGCTTCCCATCCAGCGTGATCGATTGAGTCTTCCAGCCATTTCTTTCGGTCTGCCCGTGCTGAGGATTGGATTTGTTGGTTCAGTCTTCTGACCTCGTCATTGTCGCAGATGCGCTGTCTACAAAGGTTCCTTTGCTCAATAAATTGCAACGTCCGCTGCGTGATCCATGGTCGGTGCGGGGTTGCGGCGAGAGCCGGTATATTTTCTTTGGCTGATTGCAACGTGCACGACGCGATTGTCCTGGCTGTCGAACGCCGACGCCAAAACAGTGTGTGTGTGTGTGTGTGTGTGTGTGCGTGTGTGTCTCTGTGGGTGGCGGTGTGTGCGCTGGCTCGCGAGTGTATGTTTCTTCGCCGATCTTCCGGATCCCTGATTTCGCCAGCGCCGTGGCCCTCGGGAGGGATCGTGCTGGACCCGACGGCCGTCGACAGGGTGCTCTGCGCCTGCGCCGCGCTGGGCGAGATCGACCGCGCGCTGCGCATCCATGACGAGATGCCTCTGGGCGGGATCGTGCCCAGCAGCGAGGCCTACGGCGCTCTCATCAGGCCAGGCCGGGTCAAGACGTTCTCATTTTTCTTCTCCTCCACATCCTTGGCGTCCACCTGCTCCGCCTGCTCCTTTTGCTCGTTCTCCTCCTTTTTGCGTCGCTTGCCGTGGCGTGCTCGCGCGCTGTATCGCCGAGAGGCTGGCCGCGGACGTGGTCGGGACGGTGCGGGCCATTCCGCCATGCAGTGAACTTGCGCTGCGGCCATCGGTGGCGTTGCGTGCTCGCCGCCGCGATTGACAGTGCTCAGGCCGCCGCCGATGCGGCCACTGCTCAGCACGCGGCGGAGGTCGCTGACTGGTTGCAACGGTGGGTGGAGCTGGCGTGCCGCGGGCTGTCTTTGGCTACTCGCTGGAGCTCGGGCGCTCTCCGCGCCCCGCGGGGCGCAGCCTGTGTGCACAAAGCATGGGGCCGCGCTGTGGCCAGGCGAGGGTCCCACAGAGGGCGCGGCTCAGCGTGCGGGGTGCTTGCAGGGGGGGGCGTGGGCCCGTGGTGGGCCAGCGGCGCGCAGGCCGCTGTCCTACTGGCGCGCGCTGTCCTGGCTGCCCGCGCCGCAGTCGAAAGGATGATGTTGCAGGGGGGCGAGCCGAATGATCGAGAACGGGGCTTCCATAGGGGGCGACGCCCAGCGTCGCGACGAGCCGAAGACGGACGCGCGGCGTGAGCAGAGCTTGCGCCCGAATGCAGAAGTCGAGGCCCTCTTGGAGGCGGTCCTGGTGCGCCTGAGGGCGGCCCTCAGAGGTGGCCGTTACCCCGATTGATACACGCTTGCATGCACACCTGTCTTCAGCAAGTCCTGCGAAAACACATTCGCAACCATGCGCTGCACGACGTGGCAACGAGGGTCATTTCGAGTGGGCGACGCAGAAACAGCGGGGTCGTCTGCACGGACATTGTCGCGTAAGCTGCCCGCGCAAGGCCGCGCGTGAACGCCCGTGCAAGCCACCACGTGGAGTCGCTGCGCCATCTCGCGCAAGACCCGCTTCTTCTCGTCGCTCAAGTGCAACCACTGCGTGGTCGCATTTGATCGCGCTCGGGGCCAGGACGGCAGGGGTGCTACACTAGCAGGGGGCACTCTGCACGTGTGCCGCAGCCACTGCCCGTTGCTTCCTGGAGAAGTCGCGGGCTGCTACCAGAGCGCGGTGGCGTGCCAGGCTGGGGGCCTGACGCGAGCGGGAGCGGTGTGCAGGCCTTTGGCTGTGCGATGTTTTCCTGGCTTGCGGAGGCTACCAGAAGGGTTCGTTGGGCGAGGTTGGTTTCGCTAGACCTGAGCCCCCCCGACTTGAGGCGCCCCAGCTCGATCCGAGGCCACCCCAGCAGCTGTCGACATCACACTTCTTGAAACAGACCCTGTCGCCGTTTCCGACGCTTGCGGAGCCGAGGGTGTTCTTCGGGCCCTCAAGAGTAAAGTGCGCTTCCCCTACCGTCTGGGGTCCCTTTCCCGCACGGGGGCCATAGCACCGCTCGGGAGGGCAGGGTTCGCCAGCCTGGCAGGTGGCCGGTTGTGCTAGGGTCAGCACGAAAGCGCTTCACAGTGCTGCTCCTCTGTCGCCGCCGCCTCATCATCCTCCTCCTCATCCTCATCCTCGCCCTCCTCATTCTCCTTGTCCTCGTGCTCCTCCTCGTCGTCCTCCTCCTCCTCTTCATCCTCCGCGTCCTCCCCGTTCTCCTCGTCCTCCTCGTCCCCGTCCTCCTCGTCCTCCCCGTCCTCCTCGTCCTCCTCGTCCTCCTCGTCCTCCACGTCCTCCTCGTCCTGGTCGTCTTCCTCGTCCTCCTCGTCCTCGTCCTTGGCGGTGGAGGAGAAGGGGGAAGAGAAGGAAGAGGAAGAGGAGGAAGAGGAAGAGGAGGAAGAGGAGGAGGAGGCGGAGGAGGAGGAGGAGGAGGAGGAGGAAAAGGAGGAGGAGGAGGAGGAAGAGGAGGAGGGGTGGGACGAGGGAAAGGGGGAGGAGGAGGAGGCGAGGCAGGTGAGGAGGAGGAGGAAGAGCAGGAGGAGGAGGAGGAGGATGAGGAGGAGGAGGCGGAGGAGGAGGAGGAGGAGGGGGGAAGAGGAAGAGGAGGAGGATGAGGGTGGAGGAGGAGGAGGAGGAGGACACATAATAAGAAACATACTACTCATAATTCCAAGCATACTCATATCAATATTAAGAAGGACCAACAACACCAACAGCAATATTATCAATACTATCTTTATCCATCATAAGATAGAATAATAGCATGAATAAACCATCATACCATTAAGAATACAACTATGGATAATGAAACCAATAGTATGATTCATAATACGAATAATACGAAGCATCATAACAAGGCTAATCATGCGAGCAATCACACTACTAAGAAGAGCAATGATAATACTACTACTGCTACAAATAGTTGTAGTAATAGTAGTACTAGTAGTAGTAGTAGTAGTAGTAGTAGTAGTAGTAGTAGTAGTAGTAGTAGTAGTAGTAGGAGTAGGAGTAGTAGGAGTAGTAGTAGTAGTAGTAGTAGTAGTAGTAGTTAGTAGTAGTAGTAGTAGTAGTAGTAGTAGTAGTAGTAGTAGTAGTAGTAGTAGTAGTAGTAGTAGTAGTAGTAGTAGTAGTAGTAGTAGTAGTAGTAGTAGTAGCAGTAGTAGTAGTAGTAGTAGTAGTAGTAGTAGTAGTAGTAGTAGTAGTAGTAGTAGTAGTAGTAGTAGTAGTAGTAGTAGTACAAATGAGTCTACGGATACTTGTACGACTAATACAAAAACTATAAGACTAAGACTAATCATGCTATTAATAAGCAAAAGAAAAGGAAGACGAGGAGGAGGATGATGAGGAGGAGGAGGATCGGGCCCGCAGCATGTGTGGCCAGGGCCCGAGTCTTGGGAGGTTTTGACCAGGATCGGGGAGGTTTGGCGCATCGGCTATTCCATCCCCCTGCGTGGAGGCTGGGTCTGGGCTAGCGGCCGCCCCCCGGCCTCCGCGCCGACGCCGCCGCCGACGGCGGCGACGAACCCTGAGATCTGACGTTGGACAGACATTGCAGCGCCGCGAAAAATCACGATGGGAGCCGTCGAGCCCCATGTATTCACATGGCCTTTTTCGAGCCGGATCGACTTGCGAGGGCCCAGGGCCCGAAGCCGGGCGGAACCTCCCGGCTCGGAAAAGCGCTGCGGCGCCAGGATCTCGGGCACCCCTCGGCGAGGTCGTGCGCCGCCGCCGGACGGGCGGAGGAGGCTCTGAGCCTCTTCGACTCGATGCGGGAGGCGTGCGTCGTTCCCGACGGCCCCACCTGCCGCGCCGCGATCCGGTGCTACGCGAGCGCGGAGAGGCCCGGGGAGGCCGCCGCGCTCCTGCTCGAGGTCCTGGCCCGCGAGGTTCGCCCGGGGCACCCGGGCCCGCCGCCGTGCTGAGCTTTCCTGACGGGGCTCGGCTGGGCCCTTTTGCTTTTCGGCCCCCGCCCGTTTATCGGCGGCGAGCGAGGGTGGAAACCAGCAAGAACAGAAGGGGCCATCGCAGGAGGCGGCGGGACTGTTCAGCAATTTCGCGGCCTCTGAGAGGTTTGTTTGTGTCATCGGAGAAGGCTTGGAGAATCCGTAAGGGCTTCGCCCCCTGCCGCTGGCCCCTTTTCTATCAAAACGGGATATACATGAGTCGCGTCATTGCGTCTCGGCGCTGCCTTGGCACATCAGGGAACATCATGTAGTTGCGGAAAGGAATCATCAACGCATATTGAGACGTTGACGTGATCGAGGACGCCTAAGGCGAATTGCCGCCGCCCCCTGCCTGTTGGAATCGCCCATGTGGCAGAATGTTGTGGCAAGAGTTCTGTCAAGCTATCGGACCATGTGCTCCCCCAGCCGTGGTGGAAAACTTTCGGGGGACACTTGCTATATCTTATGGGAAACCAAGTTTGCACAGTATGTGCAAGGGGGGTTGTGCGGCCCCCCCGGGGGGTTGTGCAAGGCAGTTGTGCGCTATGTCGCGTCAAGAGGTACTTACAGTACTGGCTTGCTCAAAACAATCGCCCGCTCCCCCTTTCCCCCCCCTTCACGATTCCTTCCTCACCCCTCCTTCCTCCTCGCTTCTGCTGCCACTTCTCCCCTTCCTTCTCTCCTCCCTCCTCCTACCCTGCCCGTATACATCCTGTGAGGCGGAGGAGGAGAAGGAGGAGGAGGAAGAGGAGGAGGAGGAGGAGTCCGTAGCCATTTGGGCTCAAGGATTTTGTCTCGCACAATCCTTACACAGTCCTGCCCCTCCTTCGAGGAGGGCTCTTTCGCTCGGTACTGTACTTCCTACCTGGAGCCGCGATGCCGCGCAGTCGGAATTTGCCGCACATCGCCATTCGTCACGATCACTTTCTTGTTCGCGTTTCTAGCCCCCAAGAGGCTGCAGACCTCATCAAGGAGCTGGACGGACAGGGGATAGGCACTGAAGGCTCGCTTCTCAGACACCTCGAGGGCACCCTCAGGCAAGCAGGTGGGGAGCTAGGCCTGGAGCGGAAAGCCTCCACAGAGGAGGTCAGAAAAAGGGACTCCCAGGGAGGGGCCAAGAAGACTTGGCCAAACGCTTGAGCAGGGCCCGCGCTGGCCGTCGTCTGGAGGCTCACCCGGATCCGCACGTGTTCGACGAGACTCTGGAGGCGCCCACAAAGCCTTTGAAGTCGGACTCCATGGCCCAGGAGAACAGCGCCACCTTCACAAGCAGCACGGGCGAGAGCTCTGACGAACTCGCCTGGAGCGGGGACCAGGCGCGGGGCCGTGCTCTCCAGCAGTTGCAGAGGCAGCTTCTGGACGTCAAGGCTCTCCTCCTCGATCTACGAGCAGATGCTTTCAGCCAGACCCCGCCGACTGTCGAGCGCGACATGGCCGAGGGCAGCGTGCACAAGACCGAGGGCGACAAGGAGAGCGGCGTTGAGACCATGACGAGTAAGGAGGGCCATGAACTGGAGGCCCAAAGCTACGGTTTTCTGCCGAATAGCCTCGCGAGCGCCCAGGTGCACGCGGAGCCGAGTGATAAACTCAATCCAGAGCAACAGGGACGGGCAGTAGTTGTCGGGGCAGGTGATTCCGACGGCTGCCTTGCCCGCTTTTCAGATGCCGTCTCGGCGAACAGCTTCGGCAGAGGCAAAGGTTGCTCAAGTAAGCCAGCGTTCAGCCTCGACGGCAAGGGCAATAACCTTCCGTACCGCATCGGCCAGGGCAAGTGTGAGGAGGCGGGGGGCCACGAGATCGCCATGAAGAACCATCGCACGGGGTTCTTCGACATGGGGGCCAATGATTCCGACTCAGAGCTTGCCGCCATCACCGCCTACCAGTTCGAATTGCCCCAGTCAGAGGCCACCTGCAGTGCTAATGCGGGCGTGCGAGAGGATGATGTGCGTCCATCCCCTTCACGGGTTTGCATGCGCTGTCCTGGAGTTTTCGGACGCACAAACTCTTTCACGAATTCTCGCCCTTCCCGCGAGGCCACCTGCTACATTTGTGGCTTCCGGTGCGGCAAGGGCAAGATGGCTCTTCATTGCGTCGAGTGCGACTCGTGGGCCCATGTCGCATGCTTCCCTGACCGACTGAAGGGCGAATGCAGCAGGTGAGCATGACGTTGCATGCTGAGCATCTGACGCATATTCAGCCACCAGCCCCACAACCCTCTAAACAGCGAGGTTGTAGATGTTTGGCCCCCTCTGGCATGTGCAGCTGTTGAGGGTCTCTGAACTCTTTCCCCCCCTCTTCCCCAGAAGCAGAATGCCAGAGCGGGCCTGTTCTCCACAGCCCGCCGAGTTCCCGAGGGGGGGGCGTGGCGGGGGAAGGGCGCAGGAGACGGGGGGGCGGGCTCGACCGAGTCGCCGCCCAGGGAGGTGGGCCTCGTAATGGTCCAGCCGTGCGCTGGCGAAGACCAGCCGCGCGCTGGGATGCAGGCTTGGGCCGCGGGCGGGCCGCCTCCAGTTGTCCTTTCTCGGGTTTCGTCTGGGCTTGGGACGCGCGCGTGAAACCGCGAAACCGAGAGGGGGGGGGGGAGGAGGAGGAGGAGGAGGAGGAGGAGAAGGACGAGGAGGAGGAGGGGGAGGAGGAGGGGGGTGAGGAGGGGGAGGGAGAGGAGGAGGAGCGGCGAATCCGCGCGAGGCGCGGTGCGGCCTGTCTTGGCTTCTTAAACCATCCTTGCATTTCTGGGCCCTGAGACGCCCTGCGCGTTGAGGTCCTGCGAGTTCCGCTTGAGACCTCAAATGCGTGGGCTTAGAGATGACGCGCAAGAGGTGGTCTAGCCCGTCTCGCCTGAGACATCCTGTCCATTCTGGGCCCCGAGATGGCCGTCGGAAAGGCCCGGTCCATTTTCACTTCAGGGATTCTCGCAGTTGAGCCCTGACCTGCAGTTGTCCAGCTCTTCTCGCTGGAGACATGCTCGTAAGTCGTGTCTGGGATGCGCCGTGGCCTGCGTTGATCCAGCCAGTTTCGCCTGATGCTCAGAGATGCCTGACCTCGCGTCGTCCGGCCGTTGCGCTCGAGACACCCTCGCAGCTGTGGGCTCGATGCCCCCCGGCGACTTCGGGTTCAAAACGTGCCCTGGCCTTTGAGACGTCCTCGCAATTCTGGGTTCGGATATGACCTGACCTGAAGTGGCCCAGTAAATATCGACCGACATATTCTCGCAACTCTGGGCGAGAGACGCCCCGATCGGAGGTGGTAGAGCCAGCGCTGTCCGACGCAACCCCGCAATTTTGGGCTCGGCCTTATCCTCGAAACTCTGCGATCGTAGATGTCCCGACCGCGCGTGGTCCGACCGTTTGCCTGGGGCGTCCTCGCAATTCAAGACTTCGGACATGCTCTCGCGCGAGGTGGTCCGGCCCGATTCGCCCGGGGACATTGTGGGGGGAAGTTGTTCGGTCTCTTTCGCTTGGGGCTTCCTCGCAACTTTTGGCATATCGGAGATGCCTCGCGAGAAGTGGTCTAGCCTGTTTCGTCTGAGACATCCTCGCACTTCTGGTCTCAGCGATGCTGCGCGGGAGATGCTTTCGCCTGCTTTGCTTCTGACATCATCGCCGCCGTGTAGGGCTCTGAGATGCCGTTCGCGAGATGGTCAGACCCATGTCTTCGTGGTCCAGAGATGCCCTGACCCGGGGTTGTCAGGGGCGTTTCGCTTCGGAGGTCCTCGTGATTCAGGGCTCTGATTTGTTCCTTTCGGCCCACCTTGGAAGGCGATGCCCAACTGTCTCTGGCGATTCCGCCGCCGTGCCATGGGCCAGGCGGCTCGGGGGAAGGGGCGGCCAGGCCCATGAGGCCCTCGGGGGGGAGGGCGGTGCGCGCGACTGGACGCGGGGAGGGGTGGCACCTTCAAGATTGCAGGAACCTTACCAGACAGCCCCTAGGCGTTCTAACACGCCACCGCCGTGCACGGCGGCGAGTGGGTGGGCATCCGGCAATCTGCGCACTATTGTTGCACTCGTGGGTTCTCGAGCAGTGAGGGTGTCCGAGCGGTTTCGCCCGTCTCCCTTTGTTTTCCTTTCGCCGTCCACCTTGATATATCATGTGGGTTCGAGTGGATTTGCACTTGCTTCACTTCCTGGTCTGTCTTGAACCATGCGCCCCCAAGCATGCCTGCCGCGATGCCTGGTTTGGTTGCCGCGCTCTCGGGCCAGGAGTGGCTGCGGGGGCATGTCCCGACATTCGCCGAGCAGGGTGTTGACGATTTGGAGACCTTGTTCCCATTGCGGGAGCAGGGCTTGACAGACGCAGGCGTGAATATCGGCCACAAGACAAAGTTGCGCAACGCGACGAGCAAAAGAACGAGTGGCGGTGCGAAGTCTGTCCCAGCAGTGGCGCTGCAGGCGCGCGAACAAACTCTGGCGAAGGTGAGGAACTCGCGGAATCTGCCCTGCCCGATCCATGCTCCGCGTAAGTCGTTCGCGTTGGCCCCCGCGTAAACGCAATGGGCGCGCGCGCGCCCTGTGCGCCTTGCATGTGCAGAGAAAAGCTAGGGCAGAGGCGTCGCCTCTCAAGGGGGCCGTCGTTGAGGCCGCGGCGGCCGGCGTCCCCGCCCCGGAGATTGCAGCTGCGGGGGTATTCCATTTTTGGTAAGCAAAACCCGAGCAGGGCGACCCAGCTCTTCTTTCCCTTCTCTCCTTCGATCCTTCCTCTACCTTCCCGCCCGTCCCCGTCGCCCCTCGCCTCCTTTCCCCGCGCTCCCGCGCCCCCCCCCCCTCCCTCCCTCCCGCGTTCCCCCCTTCCTTTTCCCCCCTCCTCTCTCGCCCGCGCCCCCCCTCCGTTCGCGCCTCCCCTCTCGCGCCCGTGAGGCTGCGACGGCAGGCCGGCGTGGCCCTCGACCTGGAGTGAGACAGTCCGCCAAGCGCAGCGCGGCGAAACATCTGCAGCTCACGTGGCCGAGGAGACTGGGCGCAGAGCGCGGTCAGTGCGAGCGTGGCGTTTGGGCGCGCGCGCCCGCCGGATCGAAGATGCCGCCAGCGAGATCGAGGTGCCTGGAATGCAGCGCGCGGGACACAAGCAACCCGGGTAATCAAAGATCGGCTCGGGGGTCAAAGTGTACCTCAAAACGTTATGCTCGTTGTTTTTTGCAGGCCTCGGAGACAGCTGTGACCGTGGATCGGAAAAAGGTGCAGTTTGTAATTTGTTGGACAAGTTTAAGACCATTGACGCCGAGATTTACCCTGGCGGGCCGAAGCGTCCAGAGGTGGAACAGAATGTCCGCGCATTTTTCGGCGAGGAGTTTACCCGGTCTCGCAGCGGGAAAGGGCGCGTCTGCCGCTCGAGGTTGTCAGCTGACCCTGGGCGTTCCATGCTGTATCGCGTTCTGCAGGGCGGCATGCGGTCTGTGCAGCGGGCAGGCGCCGGGGCGCAACGAACAGCCGTGCTGGAACCGACGTCAGACGCGCGGGATCAGACCGCGCTGAATTTTCGGCGCGAGATCCAGAAATGCGACGTCGATGTGTGCGGCGCGATTGACATTGGCGAGGCGCGCGTGTTCAACGGCGGCCATAGAGGGTGGTTGCGCCGCGCCGCGGCCGCGCAGAGAAAAGGAGGCGGCTGTGCCGCGCGCGGACAAGTCGCCGGATACATAATGTCTTCGGTGGTCGCGGCAGCATGAGGCGCGCTTCGCCCAGTGGCGGCGGGCAAGGAGAGAGACTTCGGGGAGGGCGCTCTGGAGTCAAGCCGCGCCAGGAATCCCAAAAATCAATTCGCGTAAACATCCGTCGGGTGGCCGCGCGGATTTTCTGGATCGACGCGGGATCCCCTGGCAGCGCCTCTGACGCCGTGCCTGGCGCGCCCGGCGCGCCGGGGAGTGGGCCCCGGGATTTTCATTTTCTATGCTTAAGGGGCCGGGCAGTGTAAAGCGCCCCGGGCGGTTCCCCCGGCATCCGCCCCGCGGTTCCCCCAGTTGCGTCTCCTTAGCTTAGCGTCGCTTATCTCATCTTAACTCAGCTTATTTCATCTTAGCTTAGCTTAGCTTAGCTTAGCTCAGCTTAGCTTAGCTTAGCTTCATCTTACCTCAGGTGTATCTTAGCTTAGGTTACCTTCATCTTAGCTTCGTTGAGCTTTAGCATAGCAGAGCACAGCCTAGCATGGCAGAGCGTAGCATAGCATCGCGCAACACAGCATATCATAGCATAACCCAGCATAGCATAGCATAGCGCGGCATAGTATGGCATAGCATAGCATCGCGCAGCACAACACAGCACAGCATAGCACAGCGCAGCATAGCATAGCATAGCAGAGCATAGCATAGCAGTAAAGCAAAGGCGAAGCAATAGCAGCGACAGCAAATCAAAACTCAAGCAACGCAAAGCAAAACAAAGCAAAAGCAAAAGCAAAGCAAAGGAAAGGCAAAGCAAAAGCAATGTGCGACAGATGCCGAGCTAGCCTCGAAGGCCGGACCGGAGCCCCAGCAAGCAGTGCCTTCCGTAGCCATTTCGGCTCAAGTGCGGAGGCCTTTTCTGGGTCATCGAGCCTGACCTAAGCTTAGCTTAGCTTAGCTTAGCTCTAGCGCAGCGCTTTATTAGCATAGCATAGCATAGCATAAATAGCGAAGCCTAGCATGGCACATCATATCATAGCATAGCATAGCGCAGCATCGCATATCATAACATAGCATATCACAGCATAACATATCATATCATAGCACAGCGCAACTTAGCATAGCATACCATATCATAGCTTAGCATAACACAGCGCCGCACGACATAACCTAACTTAGCAGAGCATATCACAGCATAGCATAGCATAGCGCAGCACATCATTACATATCATAACATCGCGTAGCAGAGCGCAACATAGCATGGCATAGCATAGCATAACATAGCATAGCAACTAATGCTGCTTTCTTAGGGACTCAAACTTCTAGGTAGGGTCGCACTGGGGTAATTTTTCTTTGTCGAGGCAGCTCGAGGAGCTCCAGGCGCGGGAGGCGCCCTGTCCTGGGAAGTCGGGCGACTGCATAGTCGCGCGCAGCAGTGACAGAGACTACTTCGATGCCGCCGCGTGCTCCAGGCTCGTCGTCGACGGCGTCGTCGCCTCGCGCGCTTCGGCGACGCCGCAGGCAAGTGGCCGCCCATGTTCCGCGATGCCGCCCCGACGCGCTTCCGGCCAGGAGCAGCGGGGCGGGGGGGCTTGGCATTTCCATGTCGAGCGCAGCGACGATCCTTCGTCCGCCATGGACCACCTAGAGAACGCGCGCGTCGTCGAGGGCTGCGCCCCCGCGGGGTGGCCGCCCGGGCGGCCGAGCGACCCGCGCATGTTTAATTTCATTTTTCGGTGGGAGTATAACTGGGTGCTTGGCGAGCCCGCGAACGCGAGGGACTTCCGCGCCCCGCGCGCCAGCGCGGAGGTCAAGGTGGTGCTCGCTGCTATCGCTTTGTCCGTCGAGTGGGCGCGCGCGCGCGCCCCGAATAATGCGGCGCCGCTGCGTTGCAGATGTCAGACGTCGTCGCAGAGCGGCGCTGCCGGGGAGCCGGACTGGGGGATCTGGCGGCGCGTGCGAAACGGGCCATGCACTCCGCCGAATGCCGCGAGGTCGAGCGGGAGCTGAAGCGCGGCAAGGGGTGGCGGCAGACCCAGGTCGCGCTCGCGGCAGACCGGGCAGCCGAGGCGATGCAGCTCGTTGATCGCCCGGGCAACGCGGCCGCCGTGGAGGCGGCCGTTGGCGAGGCGGCGGCCTCGCTCGAGGCGGCCGTGTCGGGCGCTCGTCGCGCGCGGGCGAAGCGCGAGCGCGCCCGCGAGGCTGCGCTGGCCGCGGGTCCGCCTATCAGCCCGCCCACGCGGCCGCCTCTCGGCCAGCCAGAGAGGCAGGCGAAGGTGCAGAGGTCCGTTGCCGACGCCGCTGCGAGGCTGGCGAGCGAGCAACGGGCCGAGCAGCGCCAGGCCGACGACAAGCATCTGCAATTGGTTCGGGGGGCTGCGCTGGAGTGGTTGCGGCTGACTTTCGGCGCGATGGCCGCTCCGACGCCTGAGCCGCTCCAGGTGAAGTTGGCCAGGGCGCGCCGGCGCGGCCAGGCCATGGCGCCTGCCGCGCGGGCAGCGCGAGCGCGTGCAGGCGCAGTTGCAACGGTGCTTGGCCCTCGCGCCAGCGCAGAAGGCGCCCGCGCTGGGGCGCCTGTTCGGACCGGATGTCGTGCTCTGGCAGCCTGCGGCCGCGAGCGGTGCCCCGGCTTCTTCGGGGGCTGGCGGCTCATCGAAATTTTCTTCCGCCATAGGTGCCCGGATCGGGAAATTGAGCGGGGGTTGTGCAAGGGTATGCGCCACGGTATGTGCGAAGGTGTGTGCGGGGTATGGGCGGACCCCTCGGCCTTGTGGTGCCCATCGGGCTCTGGGCCGCGCCTCTTCCTGCCCCCCCTCTGTGCTCCTCTCGTCGCCATTGACTTCCACTTTGGAAGGGGCCGGCAGCTCGACAGGCCGGCGTTGCTCCTCGTTCGGCGACGGAGGGCGCCGGGGGGCCCAGGCGCCCGCGCAACCCCCGCGCGTGCCCTCGCACGTGCCGTCGCACATGCCTTTGCGCAGTTCCCCTCTCCCGATGCCCACTTCTCCCTCTCGTCCCTTTTACTTTCTTCTTCTTGTTCTTCTTCCCCCCCATCGCCCTCCTCGGCTAGCCGCCTTTTCTTCCGGGCCCCCCCGGCGGGCCTGCAGGTTCGTCGCGCCGAGTTGCTCCGGGGGCTCGGAACGAACCGTCCGCTGCTCAGGGGTAACTTCCTGCGCGCCAAGCGCGTGCGACAGGGCCGGGTCGTGCGCGATCTGCGAGAAGCCGTTCGAAGATGCCCGCCCGGTGCCGACGCCTGACGAGACTGCCCAGCGCAGGGGCGGGGACGAGACCCGTCAGAAATGCCGTTCCCGTCTATTCACGGCGCGGAATATCTTTGGCCGCCGCAGCGAAGCCGCACTGGCAGCGGCTGGCAAGGCGCAGCAATCTGCAGTGCCGCTTGATTCCGAGCGCAGGCGCGGCGCGTGGCATGCCGAGGGTTGCCCGCCGTGGGAGAAAGAGGCGCGCGCGCGGGGCGGCGTTTGTTTTTCTGCGTGGCGCTCTGTGCGTGGGGGGCGCGGAACATAGAAAACGCGCAGCGTGATTTTCAACGTTTCCAGTGTTTCGCTCTCGCCAGCGGGTGGGCTCAACGCGCCTGGAGTCCATGTCGGGGCTCGGGGGACGAGCGTCCGGACAATCTCGCGGGGTTTTGCGGGCGACTGTGCCTGCCCGCCCCCGTTCCCCCCTTTCCTCTTCTTCCACCTCGGATTCCCCCCCCCCCGCGTGCCTTCCCCATCTCGTCAGCAGTTGGACTTCTAGCTCTGGGCGCTTGGGGCCGCTGCGGGGCGCAATGCCGGGCCTAGGCTTTTGGAGCCCGCGTGGGCAAGCACTTCTGGCAAGCGTGCCGCCCATTCATTCTCTTCCTCCTCCTCCTCCTCCTCGTCCTCCCCGTCCTGCTCCTCCCCCTTCTCCCCCTCCTCCCCCTCCTCCTCCTCCTCCTCCGCGCCCGCGCCCTTCCTGTAGGTGCCTCCTTCCCGTCCTCGTCCTGGATATGTCATTTCTTTTCCACCGCTGCGCATTCGTTTCTCTCCCAGCGCGTTGTCGCGCGCCGTTGCGAAGCCAGGGGGGCTCGTCTGCAGGTTAGCCCAATTATCTCCCAGCGGTCGGTTT